TCGTAAAATAGATGGAAAAGAGTCATTAACTAGATAAAATTAAAATTAGAATTTTTAACTGGACTACGGGTTATTTTTCAAACAAGAGTAGGTTAATAGATGAAAAGGAAAGAGTAAATTAAACTGAAAAAAATCAAAATAATCATCCAAAATATAAATTTTGGTTAGTTTTTTGTATGTTGGTTCGATTATCAATTTTAATTTTTAAAATTTTGGCTATTTTTCTTTGATATCGGTTTTAGTTTTAACATAACCAAACTGACAAAACGTATATAAAAAATACTATATTTTTTTATATTTTATATTGTATATATTTCATTTTCGATAAAAGTATAAAATAAATAAAAGGATATATATTCTTATTATATTATAAATATCTGTAATCAAAATCCATAAATATACATCCCACCAAGAGTGAATCCCACACGCCTAATTAGGCCTACACCAATTCCCTCAACAGACGGCTCATAAGGTGTGCAGATTATCTCGCAAACAACTCAGAGACGAAAAGCTTGATTTGTCGATCTTACGATCAGCCAAAGTCAGTCCTTGCCGATCACCCCGTGAGTCATCTAGAGGAAGATTGACGATCTCCTCTCATTTAAACACCGACTAATAAAGCTGATGTCACTGCCCAAGCCGTCCCATCATCAGAATATGAGTTTGTATGATATACGCTACGCCACCTTACGTCCTTAACTGACATTGAGCCTTTAAAGTTCTTTCACTTTTTCTTTTTTATGTATAAAATATAAATATCGACCCCTTCAGGTCCTAGAAAAGTACAAGGGATCAACACATGAAATAACAGCTATTCACACAAAAAACACACGAGAAATCATCTCATATATTAATACGGTTGTAGCATATTACTATACAGTCTTCTAATAAAAATTACGGAGAATCATTCTCCTTGTCTATCTCCGCAATGAATCGACAATATCGATGTCTTGTTTCTTTTTTTTTTTCTTTTTTTCTTTTTTCGCATACTTGCTTCCCGAGTCAGTTCATATTTGTAGGGTATGCAAACTCAATCCCACATCGAAAAATTAAAGGTTGCACGTCCAATATATAAGTTTGGTGGGCTACTCCTTCTATTGCCAATTGGTTTTAGAATGAAACCTCATTTGGGCTTGATGGATAACTGGGTTTTGAGTTGTTGGTCCTAATAATTGGTATCAGAGCCACGGTTGGTAGTCAGTTGCGATATGGATGATTTGGCATGTTCTTCGTGTGAGCCGGTGGACGGCTGGTGGATCCGTGTGCCTTGTGTCGAAAGTCTTCCTGACGAAAGGGTGGTCAGGCGACGGGTTCCGTAGGTGATAACGGCGGTACAAGATGGTCTGATTGAATGAATTTCGTTCAAGGGGAGACTCAATGTGGTCTTGTGTTTGAGGGGAGGTTTGTAGAGTATGCAAACCCAATCCCACGTCGAAAAATTAAAGGTTGCAAGTCCAATATATAAGTTTGGTGGGCTACTCCTTCTATTGCCAATTGATTTTAGAATGGAACCCCTATTTGAGCTTGTATGTTGGGTTGATGGAGAACTGAGTTTTGAGTTGTTGGTCCTAACAATATTTTCCCTTGGATTTAACGAGAAAAAACACCATAAATACGTCGTAACCTTCGATTTAACTGCCTAACTTGTATCAACAGTAACCGTTGGCGTTCGACTGTCAACATAAATTGTAATTTATTTTGATTATTTCGATTGATTAGGTTAACCGATCGAATAAACATATTATTTCGTTTTGATTTTGGATTTTGTTTGGAACAAAAAGTAAGTCGGTTTGGTTTTAAGGAATGGTGAATTTGGTTAATTCGATCTTTCGACTTTGTCGATCAACGAACACTCCGAGTTGTAATAATTTTAATTATAAAACAATCCCATTTATTTTATTTAATTTTTTGGGCTAATAACTCTAATATCTTTTGAGCAAAAATTAAGTCATCATTTAAAATGGTAATCGGTGGAACGTGATAAGCATTTATCTTCTCAAACATCATCTACTTCACCGTAATATTGCGGTCATACGTGGTTATCAAAAAAGAATGAAAGTGCCTTTAATTCTGGTTTTGATCTACGGCGGATTTTTTCATCCGCAATTTTGAAAATAGTATCATTTAATTGGCAATTAACCATTTTAATTATATTACTTCGTTAAATTTTTCTTCGTATTACATATGATGAGGATGATAATGTAAAAAGTAAAAACTTGGGCCTTTAGATTTTTTTTTCACAATGGCAAACCAAAGTACCAAACACATCAAAATTTAATGCTCTTGATATCATATAATTCAAAACACAAAACTAATCAGGTTGATATTTATATTGAATGTAGTTGGAAATCCAGTTGGAACTTTATATTACGATTTTGTGATTATGTGAATAAATGAACTAAATTAATCTTCTTTCATTAAATAATATATAATAATTATTATTTTTCCTTTCAATTTATATTAGTGAGATGAGTATAGAGAAAAAAACAAAAAGAATTAATAAATAATAGTGTTTGTTATTTTGTTTTGTACTTCATCGCACCACCGTTCGGCCAGCACAAATAATAAATCTCGCCAAAGGTCAAAGAGGGAAAAAACCCAAAGATCGGCGGCGATGGGGGCTGTGACGACGGCGTTGATAGCCATAGCCGCGGTGGCGCTTGGCTGGTGCACGATCGAGATCGCGTGCAAGCCCTGCCTCGAAAAAGGCCGCGACGCCATAGATCGCAATCTCAACCCGGATTACGACCCGGACGGCGAGTCCGCCGCTCCGACCCTTCACGCGCCGCTCAATCCAGGCAAAATTGACGATGATGCCCCTGCCGCCTCTTCAGCCGCCGTCAAGCCCGTCTAATCGCCTAACCTACTGTTAGTTGGATTTCGAATTTGCTTTGTTCGATTTTTGTAATGTATTTTCCCGTTTTGTTTTGGTTTTTCTTCATTGATGCCCCTCTTCGTTGTCGTGTATATAATGCCAATAAAAAGCAGACT